GGCACTATTCAACTTCAACTCTTTTGGTACCAGTGGAATGTCTACCTTTGCACTTCATCCTTTTTCAGCATTGCTGGGATCATAAGCTAATTTATCTCTATGGGATTAACAAACTACTGGAGTGTCCCATTTCTCCAGTACACACTCCATGGTGCTGTCTCTATTTACTGGGGACTCTTGTTATGAGGACATGCTTGAAATTAATAGACACAGAGTTTGATTTATCTAGACATAATAAAAGGTAAAATCAGTTAAAAACCAAACAAACAAACAAGCAGACAAACAACAAAACCAAAACAGCTGATCTCATTAATAAAAGAACATTTGGGATTTAATCTAATTCCTAGAACAGAAGTTCCCACATCACAAAACCATTTAGAACTTATTTTGTGCACACGATCTTGACATTAATTGCATGATTCACTTGTATCTGTAGAAATACACCATTTGTGCAACACTGACAAAAGAAAGTAAGAAAATTAATGGGGTAAGCATGTTTCCCCTAACCAGATGAGGCTGAGAAATAGATTACTCTTCCTCTAATAGCTCTAATAGAATATTTTCTTAATTACTTCTCTTCCCCTCTTTTTAATTTTTTTTTATGACTGAATCCTGCAAATATATATCCAAATGTTTTCCAAACCTGCATATAAAAACTAAAAATACATTGGTTTTATAAAAATCTTAGAGCAATTATTTGAAAATCTCTTAAATTTTTTTAAGGCGGTAAGTAATAAACTGGCAATCAGTCTGATAAATAAATCTTGAAAAATGCACATTTTCTCTAAGGTGCAAAAAGAGCTTACTAGCAACAAATAATTGTTAAGTTTTGAACTTTTAAAAATTCCTCCTCTAACCTGAAATACAACTTTCACGGGACAGGTAGCATGAAATTCACTTTGTATCTATAGTACACCCATCCAATGGATAAACATGTAATTCCATTTACTAGGAATAACAGTAGATCTTCACCCTTAATTAAATCAACTTTAACCAGCAACAAGAAAAAAAAAAAAAAAAAAAAAAAAAAAAACACAACAAAAAAACCCAAACAAAACAAAGCAAAGAAACAAACAAAAATTTTATTCAACCTATAAGATGCACAAAAAGTTATATTACAGTGCAACCTGATCAGCATTTGAAGGATGCCTAGATACTAATTTTTCATTACACAGAGGTTTTCCATTTTATTCAGTTGTACAGGTATATCAATGTGTTCTTTTTAGTCATCACTGTGCAACCCTGCAGTTAAGTATTGCAATTAGTATAATTAGTTTGCTAAACATAAGACAAAAATAATGGTCTCAGGGTTTAGAGGCCTTTTCTACATATTTTTTGTAACAATGAAAAATACAGCTAAGCCCGAAGGTCTGAGCTTCATCATGCTAGGGACCGTGAGAATAGTAGGTTCACCATCCAGATGCAGATCTCTGGAGATATTTGTAAACAAAACCTGTTTCAAAACTACTAAGATTCTTGGGGCTTAATCTCAATGTCAGGCAACTTGAGGTAGGCTTTAATGGCACTGTGAGGACCTGAGATTTGTCATCAAACCAGAGAACACCAAACATCAAAATCTTTTTTTTAATTAAAATTTAACTATCATTAGAAATATATAATTTCAGTATGGACTGTAATCAAATGAGAGTCAGTAGAAAATTTATTTTATTTTATTTTATTTTATTTTATTTTATATTTTATTTTATTTTATTTTATTTTATTTTATTTTATTTTATTTTATTTTATTTTATTTAATTCCTGGTTCTAGCTTAATTTTGGTCTGGACTTGCATCAGAGTGTATAGCTGTTCTTGATGGCAGACACAACTTACACAAAGTAATAAACTAGCATATTACTCTGAAAACAAAAATAGTTCTATTTTCAGAAGTCTTAGAATGGATAACTGATTTTATGGAATATATAATCTATAATTATAGTACAGAAATCAATTCAGTGGTAAATTTACACATAACAGTATACATTTTGATTAAATGCCATTATTAGCTATTTGTTCCGAACTCTTGATTTTGGGGTATTATTATTTCCTCCTATAAAATAGTGGCAGAGATTTTTTTTTTTTTTTCTGTCACTGATTTTGAGATGTGAGGACCCTTAAGTAACAATTCTTAAACCATTTGCTGTTTACACATCATTACTCTGAATGTGGTGGATATCAGACCTGAATATACTGAATTTATCTCCTATTACCAATTCTTGTAAAATTTCTACTACACTGGATACCCAAGGTTGGCTGTCTTCCTAAATTGTCTGCCATCTGGGAACACAGGACTGAGGAGACAAGTCTGACAACACAAAACAAATATTCTATAAACACCAACATCAAAAGAACATCCATTGTTGATGTCTTCTTCCTCATTCCTCCCTGTCCACACATACAATGGCTACCATCAGCCCCTTGTAATAAACATGCATTTTTTAATACAAAGTTATCCATAAATACAGTATGAAGTGGCACGGTAAAAGAGAAGAGAGAGGGAAACAGAAGATCAAAATGCCGAGGGTATTTTTAGAAGTGAACTATGTCCAGGGCAAAAAGAAATCTAACATTTCTGCAGCTTGGCTCCTAAGGAAAATTCTTTCCAAATTTGAATGATCCAATATTGAACAAAAGGAGGAATGAAGGGCTTTCATCCGAAAGAGCTTTCCCACTCAGCATCTTAACCCCAGCTGTTACTGTTTTTATCATGACTTAAAAAGCAAAGGAGGAGGGAGAAGAAAGGGAAAAAATCGAAGACATTATCAATGCATTGTCCCATATATCACTTATCTGTTGAACTCCAAATTGGAAATTAAACTTTATTTTTAGTCTTTCATTCTTATTCTACCCTGACCCATTTTTATGTTAAAATTCATGATTTCCTGGACAGAGTGAATCTAGGTCATTAGGGGAATGCAGAGATCATCTTGGAGAATGTAAGTAGTCATTCAAACCTTTTACTGATTTTAATCCAGTGTAAATTAATCCTGTCTATACAACAGTCGGAATGAATTCATGATTTATGGAATGACCTCAATTTTCCTTGTCTCTGTCAGAGTTTTTTCAGTTGGACTATCTCTCAGAATTCTGCTGAAATATTTCATGCCCATTCCACTTTAGAAGTTTACAGCCAGTAAATGATTAACTGCTCACCTCCTTTCTTCTAGACTTTTAATTCTTAGTTGCTGTTTCTTCCCCCAAAAGTTCCACTTTTGTGAAAACAACAGGAGGTTTTCATTAATCCCATTGAATGTTTTAACTATCCACTTCATCCTATTTTTATTTCTCTAAACCACACAAATACCCAATTCTTCTTGAATATTTATGTGATCCTCAGCTTTGGAGATGTATCATTACCTTGTGTAATGCACAGATTTGAAGACTTTATTCTCATTAAATTAACAGCTAATGTTTTCTGAGCAAAGAGATTTGAATAAACTTAATTTGTGCTTTAAAACTCTTATCTAACAGTAAATTGGAACTTGAAAATTTCCTCTCTCTATATATATAAAATTTAGCTCTTATGTTTCAGTTATGCTACAAATAAGATATAGTTTGTAATACCTTTTGTTTGGTGAATGAGTCTTCAAAATGACATCGTTCTTACAATAATATGTTTAGGAAAAATTGCTGCCATCTTTTGGATGCACTCAGAAAAAAAAAAAAAAAACAAAACAAAAACAAAAAAAAAAAAAAAAAAAAAAAAACAAAAAAAAAAAAACATTTCACTGAAAGTTCCAGCTGACACATCCCAGGTACCCTCATGGAAAAGATTATTTGAATTTGCAAAAAGTTATTCTAAGATAACCAATATTTTCTTCTTTTCTGTTTTATATAGTGATCATAGCACAACATCTGTTCAAGAATTGTTTGGTTAAGCAATACAGATGGGAAATAGCTTTTGCTGAAAGAGGTGCCACTGAAGTTGAAGCCAAACATAACAAGAAAACAGAGATTATGGATACAGATAGGAAATTATATCTACTCCCAGCATTTAATTTTTTTGCATCTATACCTTGTCTTGTTTGAATAGGAAATAAAACTTGTTTGATCTACACAATTATTAACGTTTAGTGACACAGCTTATTTATCCTGTTATTTCTTTGGAATCTAGCCTGGATAAATTATGTTATCCTTTTTTTGTTGCTTGTTTTCCTCTTTTCTTATTGTTTTGAATTTCCAGGAGATGTAATCAAATGCTTGTTGTGTGGCCAGCTCAATACACTGACTTGTGATACAAACACTGCATGTTCAAAAAAGTCTTTTTAAGAACAGAGAATGCTAGTGTCAGTGAGAATAAATCAAGGTCGATAATATCTGGGAAAAAAAAGAAAACATTGTCAGGAGAAAATAATGACTCCTCTGAAGAGATAGCGTTGTCAGACACTAGCATATCTTGCCGGTACTGGACAGTGATATTAAAATATGCTTCAAATCTACCTTATCACCTGGAGTGAGACTCAGACATGCATTCTGTAACTGTCCGGACAGGAGAAGAGACTAACACCAGCTGAGCCACAATGACTCTCAACAAAAAAGTCAAATGAAGATGTGAGGAGGAAAACAGTCACTGTAATCACCCTCTGCGCTTTGCGCTGTACAACTGACTTTGCAGTTAGTTTAATTTCTGCCTAAGCACACAGACCGGCAGGCCAACAAGTTACATCTACACTGTCCAGAAAACTGTCACCCCTCACCAAGTGTTAGAGTGACATGATCACTTTCTGTTAAGCTAACAGCATCATGCTGACCATTCTCTCCTCGTATATAATAGAGCCAAGGTTAGTTTTACAAAAACATCCAACTAAAAAGGCTTGTAACATTGCAGTATATAACAAATAAAGCTGACTCATTGCCCCAGTCATGAATTATAAAGTCTTTTATGCAAGCCATGCGAAAGAGAAAGAGGAATGAAACCCCTCATTAAACAACGTTCTTGTTCTGCGGACTTTACACTCCAAATTCACCCCTTCTGCCCAAAAATGCTGTTGCCGGAACTTACCGCTTTTGCCAACTCCCCCTGCTCCTAGCATCACCACCTTGTACTCTCTGGAGCCTGCTGAAGAATTGCTGGAGGAGCTGATCATTTCATTTTCTAGCTCCATCTTGCATAAGGCAGAAGGAGGGAGCAAAGGGAAGAAAAAGCAACTGTCAGGTGCTTTCTCTGATTTTAAACAACTATAAAAGCTGTGTTAGGAAAAAAAAAAAAAAAGAAAAGAAAGGTATAATGCAAGAGGTATGATTTATCAGCCTCACATTCGCTGCTGTGCCTCTGTTAGCTGGAGAAGGTCTCATAGCAACCACTTTAACAGCTTCCAATAAAAATCTCTCTCTGCCCCCTCCCAGTTCTGTATCATTCTCTGTGTTTCTCTTCCTGGACAGAAGCAGTTTTGTGAGGCTCAAGAGCCCTGGTACCTTGGGTATTGCTGTGTCATTGTAATCAAATTGAGCAGAGCCTCCAGAAAAAGAAAATGGATTAAATTTCTTAATTATGATGTTTGTTATTCCATGTAGCACTTGAATTTTAAACAATAATAAAACACAACAGACAGCTTCCTTGCCACCTTGGAGTTAAATATGCATCTTATGTTCATCAAGTTTGATATATATACATTTAATACTATTAGAAGTGCAATAAGCAACAACTTTTATGAGTCTTTGTTCTTGTGAAGCTTACTATAAGGCAAAGAAGTTTTCTAAGGTTAAGTTTGCCCCCAGATCAATTCTCTTTTAGTTTAGTTTGTATCAATTATTTGCAGAAATAAACTAGGTATTAAAAAAAAAAAAAAAAAAAAAGTAGGTTTGTTCTTTTTTTTTTCCCACACATAATTTCAGAAGGAGATTGAGACTGATGGGAGGAGGAAAGATATATTCATCCACAAAATATCCAAGTGAGCAAAGAAGAAAAATTGTTTAAATACTTCATACTAATACAAAGTGATTTATCTAACCAACCTGGTCAGACCAAATAAATAATAAAAGAATAAAGCAAAAAAGTTTGTGAATGACATCCAGTGTAAAAATATGTCATTAGAATTATTCAGTGAAAACTTACAACAAAATCCTGCAGCTCTTCACTGATTTCTGATGATGTCCTTAACAGATCTAGTATATTTAAAGAATGTGATAAGTCATAAGATAGTTACCCAGCTTTAACTGTTATGGAATATTTTCAAGGACCAAAAAGCATCTACTGCAAAAGGGGCAGAAAGTAAAAACTTGCTCTCCTTTGAAAAGTGCTGGCTTTCATGAAAGTTAGAACTATTAAGGAGAAAGATAAATTGAAGTAGGAGAGGCAATGAATAAAGTATCTTGGAAGTCAGACACCATCATCTGTCCAGTCCTCCACCTATTTCACGGAGAGTAAATATATGGCGTTACACAGGAATACAGAATTAAAAGTTGAAAAGGAAAAAACTAAAAAAAATATTTAAAATATCATAGCCTGATGAAAAACATGATTTAAACAAAATTAGGAAGGAGAGGAAAATGTATAGAAGCGCACATGTATGAAAGATAGTTTAATGGACTAAGAAAATACATGATTAAAGAGAAGAGGTACATAGGTATGATAATAGAATTATAATTAGAATGGAGAAAGTGTAGAGAACATGAATACTCATTTTCCTTCCTAATAAAAAAATTAGGAAACATCAGATGAAATAGGCAATAACCAAGTTTAAATTCAAAGTACTTACAGGACTCATGACTGACAGGATCTTCTTGACCCTTGATGTTTTGGGCAGTAGAAATGAACTTGTAAGGGGAAAGAATTTAAATACAAAGTAGGAGAAAATCCCCTGTAGCATATTAAAGTCACCACCTCTTACTTAAGAAGTACTCAAGACTCATATCAACACATCCTGTGAAAACACTGAAGAATCAAAGTGTGACAGTCTGTTTTCAGCAGCACAGAAAAAGAGAACAGAGGGAGAGTCACTATGTTCTGAGAACTCCTCCAGAATCAGGACCTGTTACTGCTGTGCTCCAGGATTTCTGTAACAGACATGCTGCCAGCAGCATTGTAAGGTCAGGACTGGGTGTATGTATTGATGCCTGGATGCAGACCTCAGAATTCAGAGGTATTTGATCATCAGAGCATAAAATAGGACTTAAAACAGGAAATTCTGAATGTAATAAAGTGATGTCTAAATATTGAATTTCAGCAGAGACAGGTAGGTCAGTAAATCCCTGTTGTGATTAGAATTACATTTTCTTTCAAATAATTCTCAAGTGCTCAGTATTGACACATTAGATAAAATTAATAATGATACCAAAATCACTGCTTAGAACAGTTGGGTTTTCTTGGTAATTGCCCACCAACACAGCAACCGCTTTCTCAGTAGCTTTTAACCCTATAGCTGGGAGTAACATTTGGGTGACATTAAAACATCAGGAAAGTGAATGGTTGTGGGCAAGACTCAAATGACAATCTAAGAAAAATATTTCAAAAATTATTAGTGAAAACTGTTATATAATAGATAAGAATTAGTGATTTTTTTTCCATCTGTTGGTGTTTGCCAGAGAAATGTGGCAAGCCATTTTTTTCTTTTGTTTAGAGCTGGAAAATGTGGAAGGAAAATTAGAAGTGGAAGAGGTTACAAAAGGGAATTATATTAGAGCAGGAAGCAGAATAAGACAGAACTAAATGGAAAGTCCTTTTCTAATCTGTTAAGAAAATCTAGAAAAACAAAGACAGCATTTTTATCCCTGAAAGTGTGGAATTAAATACTTTTATCTGTTGATTGAGGAATAACCATTTAAAATACCTGTTTTAAGACAGATTCATGTTAATGAAACTTCAGTATTTTAATAAGTATTATATTATATAAACACTTGGCCAAATATATCCTCCTAACTTTCACAGATCTTTGTCCAGAGTCTAAAAAGGTGAGGCTGCATTTCTATTTACAATTCAGAACTTGTTCTAATTGGTTTTCAACATACCTTCCTATTGACAGGCAGCCTACTCTGCCTTAATTTCATTAAATTTCGTAGTGGAGGACAAGTATTTAGCTTCATTCACATTTATGATAACATCAGTGAGTCTTCCTTCTCCCACCTGAGCAGAAAAGTACAAAGTTTTGCTTTCAGTCCGCTGCCAACAAAATTAATACTGAGATGATTTGAAATGACTCAGCTTGAAACACTTGTTCGATAATATAGGAAAAAAATCACCAGAGTAAATGCTTTATAGACAACAGGAAGAAACAGCAAAAAATACAACAACTGAACCTGAGGTGCTAGAATTTTTACAATGAGTGATTTATTCCACAACAAATTCCAACCCTCTATTTTATCTCTTTGTTTCCCTGTTTTAAGGACACGTTTATCATGATGTAAATTCATAGAAAACCATCCTCAAGCAAACAAAAGCAACTGTAAAAGTAGGGAAAAAGCTTGGGGTACTACCCTATAATAAATAATTTATTTTTAAAATTTGGACTCTATTGTTGTTTACATATTGGTTATGACTCTATAGCAAATATGAGAATTTTTTTTCTATTTTTAAATTTTTCTATTCAAATTCACTGGAAAAATACAGTAATTTAGTGAAACCTTTCAGTATTCAAAATCTAGCAACTTCTTTGTTTGAATATATATTTTGTCAGTTAATATTGAAATAGCTGTATGCTCAGATCTTTAAGGATGCTTAGGTCTTAAGCAAAAGATAACATACAGATAGGCATGTTAGAAAAGAAGTAAGCAGGCTTTTTCTAGAGAAAATGTTGTTAGAAAACACATTGCATTCATCCTATATCCCCACTTGCTCAGGGGGCGTTGAATAAAATAATAAAATGTTAGTACAACATATAAATTTTCTGAAATTGTTTCCTAGAGCACTTCATGTTGACAAGATTTTATCAATTAACCTGGATAAATATTCTTGGCATTAGGCAGAGAGCTCATGAGTTTAAAAACTTGAATAGCAAGCAAAATGTAAATCTTGACTGATCTGAGCTCCATTAAGTGATGGGTTAAAAACATGTGAACCATTTAATAATAAGCGAATATGCATGAGCCCAGTGGGGTCCATGCCATTATGGAAACAGTGACCACCCTTTTGTCTCTCATGTTTACCTATTAGGCACAGCAGAAGGAGGAAATGTAAAGAGCATCCTTCATAAAAAGACACATAAACCCACCTCGCTGAATGGCTGAGGTGCTGCTATGACAAGAAAGAGTGCTAACGTAGAAATCATTGCACAAGCACTGGAGAACTGATTCAATCTGCTCCTGAGAAAAAAATGCATTTGGCATACTATCTTAACTTGATCAATTCTGAGTAAAGCTATCATAATAAAGTAATTGTTAGGGGACTTAAATAAATTTTAAACTTAAATTTTACGTTAACGGATTTAGCATATTCATTCTTAAATATGATGAGTACCTCTGAATCTTATTGCTAAGGGACCTCCAACACACGACAGAAGCAGCTCTACATTTTTGGTATTCATATTCCTACTACAAATACCCAGTGCTTCCATCACCAACCTGCCACAGGCACCTTGCCTTCCTTAGGTATTCCCCATCCTTTTTTATTCTCCAAATTACTCATCTGTAGGATGACTCAGTGTGTCACACATCATATACTTGATGGGACACTTGACAACCTCCCACCTTGAAGCTGGCTCTTCAGCTCAAGCTGTTAAGACATATGCCTATTGTTCTGAAGGTCTTACTCCTGTCCCTAGTGTCAGATAACATAGTGTCCCCTGCCCCTGCTGCAATGCATTTTAATCTAAGCCTTATTAGTACGTCAAGTGGCAAAAGCAAATGAAAGGAGAAAAATATGTGAGTCTAACTAGTAACAGAACACATGAAACAACTTCAGAGTCCACAGAGTAAAGAAGAAGGAAAGTTTGTCACAAGCAACATCTTCCCTTTGATTATGCCAGGTCAAACAATGCAACTAATATTGTGCCTGCTGTACAAAGGTTTGAGAAATAAGGGCTGTTTCTCATATTCTTGAGAACAATCAAATAGTGTTAACTTTAAAATTATTACAAGTGACTAACTTCTTACAGAAGAGAAATCTTGAAGGTCATGTCCTAGACTATGTCAAAGGGAAAAGCTATTTTCACTGGATTTCCAATAAGTTTTCACAAATGATTTATGATCTTACTCTCAAGAAGTACTAATGATTGCAGGTCATTTATGGATTTTTGTTGAATTTTAATTACATTCACAGATAAGACTTTTATACTTTTAAATGAAACATTGATACACAGAATGTGAAAATCTCAAAGATCTCGAAGTCTTCACGACCCATAAATATGTTCTCTGTGAGCATGAATGTGCATTTATTCTAAAATCATTCACCTTCTAGTACTTTTGTTAGGAAGGAAAGTTATTAGC